CTGTCAGTTTTGGGAAAGATGCTACATATAGTAAAAAATGTGTAATTATTTAGTCAGAATAAGGAAAACGAAATCGATCGTTGTCTGTCTTTTCCCTCAAAATTTACAAAGATTATTAATTCTCCAAGATGTTTTTGGTATTTCTTTTAGCTTCCGGAGACATTTTGAAGGAGTTTTCAAGAACTTGTAGCAATGAATATACAATTTAGTTTAAAGGTGGTAATTTTAAACTATCTTATTATAATTAGTGTATTGAATATCATTTAGGAATGAACAATTTATTTCATGGTGAATGATACCAATTGTAATTGGCGGCCAGACGCGACATCCTGATAACAGAGTATTTGCTTTAAATTGATATAACCATGTTATTAAGCGATTTAGAGGTAGTAGAGAAGGTTTGTAGCTCCTGTGAACGATTTTCATAGAGTTTCATACTTTAAGCTGGATGGCGTTTTGGCAAGTAGGCTAATAATATAAATATATATATACAATAAGAAAATGTAGTAATGCAATATAAAACATGATAGTTTTTTCTCATCCTTAGTTATTTTCTCCAATTCAAGGAAAATAATAATAATTTTTGTCGAATTCATTTCTGAACTCAACAACTATACTCCCACTATTATTTTTTTTAATGCTTAATTTATCCAAAGATATTATTTTGTTACAGATAACAAATAACTGAATCAAGTTGAAAGTTGATTCTAGTTGGAATTCTTATAAATTCTTGGAAAATGTAAAATCATTAAAGACTTAACGCCATGTACATATGTGCATATATATATATATATATATATATATATATATATATAAACACATAAGTGTGTAAATGCACACGTACACATGTACCCTTATCGAAGTATAAAGTTTTCATGACGAGATGTAATTTAGCCTTTTCATTTAATATCGAGCTTATGAACAGACGACAGAATAAGTCGACAAAAAATACATACGAAATATGAACATAATCATAGAAACTAAAAGTGGAAATATTCGCCTGAAATGAATATTTTTAGAAATATAGATATGAAGATGAAAAACATTTAGAAGAAAAGAAAGAAATTCAAAAAGACTTTTAGGGATGAATTCAATGACTAGTAAAATAATATTAATTAATTAGATATAATTAAAATTATTGTTATCAATTTCTGAGATCACAAAGTTTCGATCACTTCATGTATTTCATCGAAAATTTACAGATATAAAATAGAATCTTCAGTAAATTTAAGCCTGAACTCTAGTGTGAATACACACTCACAACACAATTTTGAACAGACGCTGAAATGTACTTTTTTGAAATGCAACTTTTTACAGACACGGACAAGAAAGAGTATGAATGTAATGGATGTCTTAACGTATTAAAAAATTTGTAAACATACGTTTTTAGATGTTCACCAAAAATGAACATCATAAAACTGTCCCAACTTTTAACAATTAGAAAGATTAAGAATTAATCAAATTTAAACATGGAATATAATAACATCATAAATTAGTGATATTTCTCTTTTCCTCTGATATGTTTTAAATTATAATTCAGTTGTATAATAAATTAATGAATAAAGTTGAAAGTAAACCGAAACATCGTACAATCCAAATTAATATATTTCAGTTTAGTATCTCAATATTGGACCGACTAGTCTATAGTAAACATACATAAATATGGCATGTTTTTGAAACTAATAAATCGTAGACGCTTATTTACTAATCACAAACATTTGATTAAATTACGTAAGATAAATAGCTGACATTTAAATTCCTTATTGTATTTCATACATATATGTAGTTCTCGAAACAGTATTCGATACATTACATCCACTTGTAATCACAAGTAGATTCTTCAAAATGGTCAGTGTCAACGGTATTCGTATATAATGGAAATAAATCGTAGGAATAAAAACACTTAAGTAATAAATGGTAAATAACTTGAGTTTATAAATCCAACTAGCGAAAAACGTCTGGTTAAGTTGAATGATGTTTAAGCACATACGAACATAATATACAAGCATAAAGACAAATCTCATTGAAATTTTAAGAAAAGGCTCTTCAGTTCCTTTTCTGAATGACTTTCAAACAATGACAAAAGACTTGTCAGCCGCTAATCTATAAACCAAAGATTATTTTAGTTTGTTCCAAGTGCGTTTTGAACAGCACAAAGAAGCAGCTAAATACCTTTACTTGTATATTTATAAAAATGTAACGTCCATTATCATCGAGAAATATAAACAAATGGAAAATTAAGAATACAGAACTGATTCTTCAAGTTGGTAATGTAGTGAACGAGAAAACAAGTGGGGACGATCGAATGTATTTTAACACAAAACTACAGAGCATCTAAGTAAGATCTGTGGACCATATAGTAAATACTTTATTTGCAAAATATCAATCAGTTGTCTCAAACTCGACAGTTCCTTTGCAAATATCAGTCAAACGTCTCAAACTTCACTGTTCCTGTATTTCCATACCAATTGCTTTTTGTTGCCGTTCCTTCCTCCTTGATCTTCTCGACCTTCTGTTGTTAGATATTCTAATCCTGACTATCATCATATACTACTCATGTCGATATAAGTGGCACACACCATAGTAGTATAGCTATATTAAACACTTGTCCGTTAAATCCGTTTGTCTAATTTATTTTACCAATACGTATGAATATGATCTAAAATATGTAGAATATGTTTTTGTTTTCAGAAGCCTAATAAATCACCTCAAATCCAATGTTTAGGTTAAACAACGAATCAATAAAAGCATTCATGAACTTTTAATCTACCCATGAGAAATATACTTTTACATCTATAAGATATTATGTAGCATCATGAAATGAATGCTTTTTAGTTTAGTCAAATAGTTCCAAGTATTTGAAGTTTATTTTTCTCTAATAAACTGTAGAGTTTTAAGATCTGATGTATTAGTCGAAAAGATGTTTTTTTCAATTTCGCTTAGTATAAATATTTAAGCTGCTTTTATCATAAGATATGTAAATTAATAAGCGTTAAGTTTATCGAACAACTCTTATCTAACTGCAAAAAGCTTGGACCAAATTGCCAGGCGAAACGTAGGATTTACTTTAAATTCTTACGCTGAGATTTTATGAATATATTCTTCCTCTTTAATATTATCTAACTTATTTCGTTAACTTTTAAACCATCATTAAATTTCGCACAAATTGAATTTTAACATATTTCAAATTAATTTAAATAATACTTCCTAGTTAACTCGATGCTAGTGAGCCATTCAACTGCTATACACTACATGGTCCGATATCTATTCAGTTTCGTAGACGGATAATTATGTGAATGAATGATAACATCCTCACTATACTATGTGGAGCTTAATCATGTGTTACAGCACGAGGTCATAATGTTAAAAAGTCCTAAACTGACGTCATACACAAGTACAATTTTTCCCAATTTTCAAGGATTACACAGTTGATATCAGTTCACGATAATAAAAAACTACCTACACATTTCATAATCTAAACAAAGCAACTTAAATTAGTTTCTCTTATTTCGTAATCATTACTAGGTAGCTTAATCATCAATATTTGTTTACAAACAAATTCCATTTTCAGCATATTTTTTCTCTTTCAGTAATCATATATTTTTCCTTATATTTTACCTACGTAATTTTAAATTAACACTCACCCATCTTACAATCAGACGTATTCTATTCGATATTATTTAATAATTATATGAAAGCGTATAACAGTAAAGTTCAACACATCACTAACAACAGTTTACAAAAAAGTTTAATTTTCAGTTCATTGTGTTCCGATTATTGGAATATTGTTAATACAATACAATATTTTACACAATGTATGTTGTATATGACAGTATGAAGTGAAAATTGGTCTATGCAAATGTGAAAAATATACCCAAATAATCTGTAAGACCAGGATTTCAGATGATAATAGATAATGAATGAATGTAAGATATGAATGTCTATATAGACATATATGTTTATGGACAGACTCAATATTAAGCCTAAGAATAAATGTTTTTTTTAAGAACTAGTCGGTAAAAATACGTTTTCCGAAAATTATTAAAACTACCACCCAGTGTTTAGTTCATTTCAACCTGATCATCGAAAACTCTCAATTGAATTTGTTGATCCAATACTAATTAAATTGGTTAATAATAAGTATTTTACTTCTATCACTAAAAATGTTTTCCAACAAATTAACCAAGTGGTTTTTATCATGAATAGAAGTTAACTGAGAAACTAGTAAAGATCAATGAGTACAAGACATTTAATTCATCGTAACCTGAGTATTTTAAACACCGTTTTCCCTCGAATCTATATAAAATGAATATTATTAGTATTAGACAATAATCGGTAGTACAACCTAATCAACCATATAATTCGGTTTTAATGTTATTTTCTTTATGCACAAAAATTAAGTGACAAAGTGTTTTAATATTTTCAGAATTTCATTTATATCCATTTAAAATTCTCTAGACAACCTGTTCAAGAAGATTAGAAATGAATTAGGTAATAAAATATCAAATTCGAGGTTCTATGATTTATACACAATGTGTTGTTAATACAAAACAATGATATTTTGCTAAGTTGAAAATTTTACCCAAAAAAGAATGAAATAAAACCTTTAGACAATACATACTATCATTTTTCATGTAAATCGATAAAATCTTGCAATGAACCTGTACAAGATTCATTTACTATAGTTTAAATAACAAATAAACAACATAAGAGAAGTATCAAACTAGTATGAAACAGTTAACTCGATTCTATTTGCTTTATTTCACCTTTTTAGTAGATGTAATTATCTGATGATGATAACTTTCATTAGTGAAACATTTCCATAAAACCACCTTTGATAGCTCTATTGTTAAGTATTAAGCGTGAAAGTTATAAATTTAACAGTAATAAAAAATCAATTGGATTTAATTCAGTGAAAATATATAATTAAATAGATCTTATTCTCCTTGCTTAGTGAATTTCATGTTATTATTTCTTTTTTATCTTTTTGCTTTATATAGGTGTTAATTGGGATATAACTTATCTATTAAATCGCCGTTATGATATAGCACGTGCTGATGAAGAATTCCCTATCAAAATTCAACCACCTTCAGGTGATCTTTTATATAGTGTACCAGCATTACGTTTATTTCCACAATCAAAATTACCAAATGAAACATTTTTTATTCATTTAATATTCAAACCAAATAAAACAGCTATTCAACATGGATTATATTTATTCAGTATACGTGATCCAGATAATGTATTAAGACTTGGATTAAAAATAGTTGAAGTTAGTTCATTTAAAAGATATTTGTCTTTGAACAGTTAAACGATTTATGTGCTGTTATATATATATATATATATATATATATATATATATATATATATATATATATATATATATATATATATATAAACCTTATTGATGTAACCACTAACACGCTTATCAATCATTTACAAACAACTAACTCTGGTGATACGTTACTGATCATTTAGTGTTAATGACCAGATGATAAAAAACAGACTAACTATTCCTTCTCCATTTAGATTTGTAAAAAATACTCTACTATGTTAACTTTTAAATTTCAATACAAAGTATGAAATCAAATACTCTGTATGAAGACATAATTATAGCAGTTAATGGTAGCTCAAGAAAGAAAATTCAATTTCCTGGATCATTCGTATTAGGTTTTTTTTATAAAAAGCATTTTTAGAGTTTGAACTGAAAAATATAGCATAAGCCAATTGGTATTGGACAGCCTATCTTTTTATTACTGTTAAGTATTGTATTCCTCCGTTGCCGATATTAAAGACTATAATTGATCGATCTCTATTGGTATATAAACACCCTGAGTGGATTCCTTCAATACTATCATCTAGTAATATATTTTATATTGAATTTGGATAGTAGTCAGGAGTGAAGTTCAAAACGCGTGTTTTGTTCTATTTGGAAATCGTCAGCAGGATGTACCTGCATCTTAGTGTTGATATTCATACAATAATTAGAGCCCAGTACATTAAGCCTCAAGCCCAATAACATTATGAATTGAGAGTTTTACTTATCTATATTTACTTATTTACTTATTTTCAAGTAAATATTTAAAACCGGAATCTCGATTGGATCCAGTAGAATTGAATATTTACAACTATAGATGTTATAGTTAACATTGCTCAGTACAACTTTAAAATGTCAATATACCTTAATGTATTAATGTATTGTTACTGAAAAATAAATATCATGCCATTTAATTGGTCTTATAATAATTATCTCTTGAAAACACCAAATTTATTTATGTCGCTTATTATGTTTCTGAATCCCAACCATAGGAATCTTCATGTCTAGACACCAGTTAATAACCATACAAGATGTAATAACATTGACAAATTTGGAAAATGTTTTCATAGTGTTATTTCATTTAACTACAAAAATGCATAAGAAGAGTAATTATTTACCAATAAGAAATCTTTATGGCTTTAAATAGATTATTTGAAATTTGTTAAAATCATCCTCCTATGATTCATAACAGAAAACATAATTTTAAATGGATTTTTCACAATTCTGTTCATTTAATGACTAGTTATTTGATGATCATAAAAAATTCTTTCAAAACAGGTATATTTCAAATTCACTTAGTGTTGTTTTTTTACCTGGGTCTTCCCATTGTTGTTTAGGAGTGCAATTTATCAATCTCTTATTGGCATATGTTCATTCTGTAAGGATTGCCCCGATATCGCCTTAATTCACAAGCATTTTAAGTAAAGATGGATGATGGCTAACAGTGGAATCCAGGACGCTTGTTTCGTCCTATTTGGGACTCATTAGCTGGATTTACCTGCATCCCAGAGTCGATGTTCATTTTTGTTTTTAAAGCTTATGACTTAAGGGAATATCGAGGCAATACGCACAATATGCACATATGCCAATAAGAAACTGATCAATTGCAGTCTTAAACAACAATGGGAAGATACAAGCAAACAACATTAAATGAATTTAAACTTCGCCCCATTGCACAAGCAGGTGGCTATCAGGACTAAGTAGCTAATTAGATAACGCGATGGCGTTTGAAGCCAACAGTACTGGGTTTGAGTTTCAGAGTGAACATCAACTCTGAAATTTATTTACATCTAACTTACTAGTCCTAATTAGGGCAAAACGCGCATCCTGGATTCCACTGCTAGCCACCATCCATCTTTGCTTATAAGTGTATTTCAGTATATTTCAAATAACTATAAAAAGACTGAGCTGTTTAACAGCTTTCAATAATGAACAATTTGAATTTCATCGCAGTTGAGGGTTATTGATTTGTACCACTAAGGAGTTTCGAATTAAAACAATATAGATGTTCAATACCAAACGAGTTTTTTCTACAGTTCTCTAGATGAAATGAGTTTATAGTAAAATATCAGCTTCGAATTGTATAAAATCTACATAAAATCATCTTAGCAAATAAATGGACAGGAAGAAGTTATCTTTGAAGTTGGAAACGAATAGAAATTATTGGTAATTAACTTTCTGAAAAAATAAGACAAAATTAATTTAAATTGTTTCATCAAGTATCTATGTTAAATGATAATACAACTGGTCTACAAAATTTAAGTCTTTACGTCTCATCCTATCATAATCTGGCTAGTCTCTCACAATTGATTGATCACTGGGTGGTGATCAATATCATGCTTGTCTAGTCCTTATTGGTGCAGATCGAATGCTATCGATCATGTTGCAATGTGGCCATTAGTCTAGGTGACTCGACACTGCGGGCACTATGTATTGAGATTTAGATGGTGGTTGGAGGGAGTCAACAGGAAACCCTGTTGACTCCCTCCAACCACCATCTAAATCTGGCTAGTCTCTATTGGTTATTTAATACAACTCACGAACTGTGTGTAAAAAGAATGTGATGGGATTTCATTCAACGGGGATATCTTCATGTTAGTACAAAATGGGACTTTGAGGAAAGTGTCACCTATTCAAAGTTAATTTCTGTTTCAATTTATTCTATGTTACTACAAAAGATAGTCTTACACCCTTGAATGTCAGTCAATAGTTTTTTTTTCAAAACTTAATTTAATACTCGATAAAAACTTTTGGTGTAAAATGAATAATCGAAATACAACTGTAACAAAACAACTGAAAATATCTAAACACTATTTCTGAAATACTTTTTTTGAAATTAAATCCAACATTCATAATTATTGCATATAACAATTATGAATTGCATTTCACATTGAGTTGGCATGTAAACATTTTCTTATCCAAAAACAAGGACTGATAAACTAGCTATGAGATCTAACACACAAGTTTTATACTGATTAGATCTCCTTAACTTATTGGACAAAAATTTATGATAATTTAAGGTTCTTATTAAAATTGACTGAATTTAAAAGGATTAGTGATGTTCTTTGGGCTACTATCAAGTTACGATAACCATTAAGAGATGTCAGTAGTTAATATACATTATTTTAATTGTAAGCTTTGAGTGTTACCAATGTTTGTATTAGCAATGATTGTAAAAATCTGGTTAAAATCTTATGGTTCATATGTTAAACATAAATCAATTCTTTAAATGTCGTTTTACTTAAACCAAGGAACTTAACTCAAGTTTGTTACAATTTATCAAATCTATAAACCTATTAAGAATGAAACAGTAACTTGATTCCTTCATTCAGATAAACATGAGATATAAAGTATGTTTTTGATGAAATTATTAAAAAGTTGTTTTAAGAAGGCCATTTTAATTTTATTTCTTAAAAGTGTTGTCAAAATAACAGAAAGAAAGAAAATGGTTTCATTTTAGGACAAATTCCATTTTTTCAAACTATTCTACAAACTGATATAACATGAAATGAAACTTATGTAGCCGTGTTTAAACAAATACAATAAAATCTTGAAGAAAAATTGCCCTTAAAAGTATTAAACTATTATTCTTAGTTAAAAGGAACCGACAATACACTGAAACCGAAATATAAATAAGTAAAAACTTGAATGTTATGTAAGTTATTTATAATTGATATTTCATATGTTGATTGCACAAAACTATAAGAAACCAGTTGGTCCAACTAATTTGATTACAACTGGTCATCTCAATACTTCTTCCAGGAAACATTCCACTTTTTCGAAGTTATAGAAATATATGGAAATGTTTTTACAGCGATTGAAAGCCATTTTCTGCTAAAGCATTTATTTAACTAAATAGTGTTCGTGTGCTTTTTTGATATTTAACTTTCAAATGGATATAAATGTATACTAGTCAAATGTTTTGTCTGTGACGGCAGCAATGGCAAACATAAGCTAACTACAAAGTGGTGACTTTGGATCAATATTTTACTTTATCACGAACTAAATGACGCTAAAAAACTGAGTAAGTTGACACTGACTGGAAGTGAGTCGTAATATAGTTGTATGGTACTTAAGAATCTCAAGTTAAAAACTATATGGGGTTATGAGTGCATCATGTTGAATAGTTTCAAGAGTAGATTTCTCGTGTTGAAATCAGCTTTTCTGTAAATTTACCTTTACTAAGACTTTTATCACAAATGTCTTACTCATTAAACGATATGGATGTAGAAGTGAGGTGCATCATCAACGGAACCTTGATAAATAAGCAGATTGAAAAAAACAGCTGTGTTATATGTTTCAGTCTACATTATCCAGTGCAAATAGGTTGTACGGTACCACATATCAAACTTGGGCTGTTACGTGGGAAGTGAGAGTACGCTGTCCAGAACGGACCTACAATAATTGCGAAAGTTGAATTAGATCAAAGACATTCGTGGTTATTGTCTTCAATAGTCTATAAAAAAATATTCGTTTTTCATGGTTCTTTCTAACACATTTTATGATATTAATTATTACGGAACAACGATGTAACGAAGACTTGAGAAGATAACATCAATCATATCATGCAAACGTACACACTGCATTTGTAAAATATGAAAACGATACATTAAATATATCATTTGCACTTCTTTCTTGAGTTAATCCTGCTGTCACTCTGATTATCCTCATATTCCTCTTCTGCCAGTAAGAATTTCACTTTCAATTCCTGCTACATACTACTAAGATCTGTCAGTATAAATGACACAAATCACACTACATGTTAAGTCATAGACACTGATTGACTGGTGTCCATATATAAAAGCATATAGAAACACAGATATCAATTAAAGTGTTTGTAATGAAAATAGAGAAACTCAAAAGTTAATACCAGGACAATTCACTTCAGGAGGTTGAAAATCCCACTCTTTGTTATGTCAGCAAATTTAACCTCATTGAATGTCAGTCCACACTAA